CCCCCCCCCCCCGCCCCCCCCCGGCTTCCCCCCCAGCCACTCCCTGCCGCTGGCCAGACACCTTACCCAAGCCTGCTTCTGCACCCTCCCTCCTGGCCAGACTCTGCACCCTCTCTGCACCCCCACCTCCCTCCCCGATCCTGCCCCCCATCCCCATTGCACTCACTGGCCACTCTGTCCCACACACTGAACTCCTCACTTTTCTTCCCACCGCAGAGCCTAAGGGGATCCATAAAATCCACTAACTCCAGAACCTCGGAAAAGCAAATCTCTATTCCCAGGGGCGCCCTGCCCCCCATCTCCCATAACCCCCTCAGCCACTCTGCTGCCCAGCGTTAGCCCCAGCCACTCCCTGCCGCTGGCCAGACACCTTACCCAAGCCTGCTTCTGCACCCTCCCTCCTGGCCAGACTCTGCACCCTCTCTGCACCCCCACCTCCCTCCCCGATCCTGCCCCCCATCCCCATTGCACTCACTGGCCACTCTGTCCCACACACTGAACTCCTCACTTTTCTTCCCACCGCAGAGCCTAAGGGGATCCATAAAATCCACTAACTCCAGAACCTCGGAAAAGCAAATCTGGCCTATGGGAAGCCCTGAACCTCAATCCTTCCTGTCCCTTCCCTTCCCTTTCCCCCATGGGGGCTGGCGCACCAGAGGAGCGAGGTGTCTCGGTTGGGGACCACATCAGTGAGTGTTGCGGGTTTTGGGAGGAGGGTTTTTGCTTCTCACCTGTGAGGTCCCTCACTGATTTTTCTGTGGGTCAGTTGGAAAGTTCCCACCCCTGCCATAAACAAAGAAAACATTGAAACCTTTTGTGTTCGACATAAACTAATATTTTACCTTATTGAAAATGAAGTTTGAGAAACTAACATGAGAAAGTTAAAATGCTTCATCTGTGTAATCATTTCAATTAAACCAGGCTCCCCCGCTGCAGCACTAGGAAAATGGCTTGGGTGTAATTACGTCATTAACAGCGAGTTTCTGTTAGCGACGGGTGGTCCGCGGAAAGGTTTGCATGGAGCCAGGTGGTCCCCAGGCCAGAACGTTTGAAAGCCGCTGCGCTAGACCAGTCTGTGAAAGGCTGCGCTAGCGATGAGTAAAGGGAAACTATAAAGCGTTTCGAACCGGAGACCCGGATTCTTTGGTCGGTGGGACTAATGCACTTATTAAGGGTGTCAAATTGCGGTTATCTGGCTAGTCGTGCAGTCAATACAATTGTATCAACTACGCAATTAGTCGATATGGGACCGCTCTGCAGAGCCACAGCGGGGGTAGCTCCAGGAGCCGGCTGGCCCAGGACTGAGCAGTCCCAGCTCATGCTGGCTCCGGGAGCCACCCACGCTGCAGCCCTGCATGTTAAATGTAGTAAGAGCCACCGGGCGCAGAGGCGCAGCGTCCCGGACCAGCGCAAGCCAGGACTGCTTGATCCCAGCTCGCACTGAGTCCAGCAGCCCCTGTTCGCGGTGGCCAGCCTGGGGGTTCTCTGGCTATGGTCTGTACAACGCCCAGCCGAGAGGGGGCCGTCGGATCGGGGGATACGTTTAAAAGAATCCGTCAACATGATCTGATCTGTGGAGAAAATCTGAAAAACAACCCCTGCTGGAAACGTGGGCTTCATTTTAGCCGGTGTGTATTTCCAGGCTGGTTTCAGAACGGTTCAGAGATTCCTGCCGGAGCATTTCTGCAGTTCGGAAAACCCGTTCGTTGGCCCACCACGGTCGACACTGCTCTTTGGAGCTGGAAGCAGCCCGGCTGGGTTCCACTTTGTGCCCGCACACAGGCTTGTTGTCGGCTGCTGAGAGGGCTGGGCGGGTGCCAGCGATCTGTCTGTGAAAAAAGAAGCCCATTAAAGCGTTCTCTTGTGAGAGAAGAGAGGCTGGGTCTGAATAAAGGCCTGGGTCTTGCAAGGAGACCGAAAAGAAATGATCAGTCATGGCTTGGAGCCCTGGACAGCATCTCTTTGCGGGTCACTGCTGCAAGGAAGAATTCTGGGCGCGTGCTCCTTTTATTGCTTCTTGATCCATAATGAGGGTCCCGAACGGTGTTTTCAGGAGCTGTGGTTTCTGCTTGTTTTTTAGCGTAGAAACGTGGCGCCAGCTTCCTGAAAGAACTCAGCCCAACCGGTGCCTTGGAAACCCCTAAAAACGGAGGGGACCAGGCTCTCCAAAGAGTTCCGCTTTCGTTTAGATCTGCCGGTCAGCTGGGCAGGGGTCAGCCAGCTCCCAGTGCTCTGAGGGGGAAAGGTGAGCACGGAGCATCTTCTCTCCCTTGTCTTTCCTGGCAGAGTCCCTGGATTGCTAGAGCTAGAGAACCAAGAGGATGTTGGCAGTGCCACCCGAGGGAAGCCTGAGCCATTTCAGGTTCTAGGGAACTAAGGCTCACGTAGGCGCTTAGGCCAGCTTCCAGATAATTCCTTTGTGGGATAGTCACAGTATATTCCAGCTCGTTCAAACTTGCTTGGGTTTTTGTCCGAGTTAAACATGGCATTCAAAGTAAATATTTTTTGTTAAAAGATTCGACCTCCTGCCCCTTCAATTCAGAGCTGGGGGAGACCTCCAATGCAACCGGAAGGACTAGATTTTATAAGCTCTCTTCCAGCCCTCTTTCAGCATCTTGTAGATGCAGGAAAGAGCACACGCTCATCTCTCTGTCTGCAGGCCACCTTCCAGCCCAAGAACCCATAAGTGTTAATGTAGGGCTAGTGCCCAAGGTGCCCCCATGGCTAGCCAAAGAATTAAAATAGCCCCAGCTACTGAAGAGTGACAGTTGTCAGCATAAGGACACCTTCAGACAAGTGTGCCAAGAAAGTACAATGTAGAATTTCCATGGGGGATACAGACAGGGTGAAATGATTTTCTGGTCGCATGTCCAGCACTAGGACACAGAATATTGTACTGTCCTCAGAGTCGCTAGACTGATCCCTCAGTGTCTGTTCCACCAAGAATAGTGATAGAAATGTAGCCGTGTTAGTCTGGGGTAGCTGAAGCAAAATGCAGGACAATGTAGCACTTTAAAGACTAACAAGATGGTTTATTAGATGATGAGCTTTCGTGGGCCAGACCCACTTCCTCAGATCAAATAGTGGAAGAAAGTAGTCCACTATATGTGACTACTTTCTTCCACTATTTGATCTGAGGAAGTGGGTCTGGCCCACGAAAGCTCATCATCTAATAAACCATCTTGTTAGTCTTTAAAGTGCTACATTGTCCTGCATTCTGTTCCACCAAGGCGTGAGATAAAGGACTTTTCATTTCTGTGACTCCCATCTTGCTCCATTTTCCAAAGGGTTTATCCTTCAGCTACCTGGGCTTGTATCTCCAGGTATGGGACTTGTTTGTTTGTGCCCATGTGGTTTGAGATCATGGACCATTAAAAACTGTCACTG